TATTATTTGTAAAGTAGACCTTTATTGGGCCGGCACCGTGGTTTAGCACTTCTGCCTTGCAGCTTGAATCCTGACCAGGACACGATCTGAATGGAGTTTGTGCTTGCATGGGTTTCTTCCATACTCTAAAGTTATGCACAGGTTAATTGGCTCTAGTATGTGTGTGTTCGAGTCTATAAATCACAACTCTAGCCTCCTACGGCAGACCCTGGTAACAACCCGTCAAGTGGCCAATGCAGCTCAGGTACACAATGCGGGGCATGGAGCCAGGAAGTAAGGTTAGAAGACTGAATAATGTGAAACCTCACGCCGCTACTCCAATTAAGTTAAGCAGCAGCTGAAATTTTTAAAATATCCATAGTGGCTGCAAAGTGATATCAAAATAGAATGATACAAAAGTGAATAATGTGAAACCTCGCGCCACTACTCCAATCAAGTTAAGCAGCAGCTGAAATTTTAGGTTAGAAGACTGCCACGTGGTCATGTTGCAGGGATGGAATAGGAACCTGTATTGAATGAAATGAATACAGTACTGAACAATGGGCTCCGCTAGCTGCCTGATTCTACCTTTCTTTTGCTATCCATGCCACATTGTCTCCATCTACAAGGACTTATGGGTAACGGCAGAACCCCCAACCCATTGGTTTAACCCTCCCCCCTAGGGTTGCCACCTGTCCAGGATTCACCCGGACAGTCCGGGTTTTGAATGCTGTGTCCGGGTTTCATGGCAGCAGAAACCCGGACACAAGATGTCAGGCAGACAGGGGCAACCAAAATTAAGATAGGGCTACTGGCCCCCCATTGAAAATAGTCTCAACTGTGATATTTACATATGAATGGGTGGCACTATTTACATATGTCTAAGCCGCGGCTCATTCTCCCCCAAAAATGTCTGCGTGTCGCTAGAGTGTTCGGGTTTCACTTGAAGAAAAGGTGGCAACCCTACTCCCCCCTACCCCCCAAAAATGGCTTTAAATACACAGTACTTTGAAGTTCATGTAAAGCCAAGATGTAGTGTGGAGAAGAAGATTTTTACTGCTATCCAGAGGTCTGGGGGAGAGATTTTCTCTCACTTCCTGTCCTGCAGAAAAATTGTTTCGTCAGGGAAAATCTAACAACAGGGACAAAGACAACCATGGAGCTGTAGACTTTCCTTCTCTTTATGTGTTGCTGTTGGAGAGTTCCCCTCGCTTCCTGTTTGGTAACATGTCAGCAGAGCAGAAAGTGAGGATGAATCTCTTAATAGAACCCAGAATAACAGTTAAATCTGACAGTATATCTAACTCTTCCCCACTATATTCAAAACTAGAAAAGATAACCTCGCTCCCACAGGCTCCCTCCTGGACCCACCTCTAGCCTGTGACTGGACAGTGAAAGGAGAAGCGGCACAGTGATGAGTTCATCTCTCTGTCACTCTTCTATCTCCTCCTATCAGCATGCTTCTTGTCAGCACATGATCTGAATGGCTCCTTGTGCTGTTTCTTCCTTTCATGCTCCAGCCCTGCTGTACAGAGACTGCAAGAGGCTGACATCAGGCCAAATGCAGATACTTACACTGCCACAAGCACATGTAATTGTGTAACAATGATTACCATGCTACAAAAGTGTGTGTATGTTATATCTGCCTGGAGTTCAGCTTTAAAATACACATTAAGGGGTGCAAATGTCTATATTATGTATGCTCTTGTGGAATGAATAAATTACAAGGTGTGATCCAGCACCATTCCGTGCCTATTGTTAGGGCCAGTAGTTGCAGGTGGTGTTGGCTGAACGCGCAAGAGCAGAACAGTTGATTGGGTCCAGAACTTTTACAGGCTATTTGTCTGTATTGCGTATGTGTGGTTAAGCCAGTGGTTCCAGAACATTTACAGAAGAGCCGCCTGGGGTCACATAACTTACCACATAATAATAGCAAAATAAATGATTTATATTTATTATTATTATGTGTGAAGTTATATGGCCGCAGGTGCCTCACCAGTAAATCTTTTGGACCCGCTGGCTTCCCCGCATATGCCTGATACAGACATATAGCCTGTACAAATTCTGGACCCGATCAGCTGTTCTGCGCTTGAGCTTTCAGCCAACACCACCTGCAACTGCTGAGACTGTGTCACTGGAAGATACGTGGTCCAGATTTCTAAAAAGGGTCCAGCACGCCTGCCCTAAGTGATGTCCATTATTCAGAGAGTGAGATTGCATGACTTTATTTCTGGAAGTAAAGGCATAAAGAGGCTTTTATGGAGGAGACTATGCAAGTCACTTTAAATTTATTTTAAAAAATAGCAAATCATGGAGGGGAATCTATCTTTCATTTCCAACTAACTGAACAAACTGAAGAAAGAAACGTATTGATTGCCATGAGCAACTGCTCCACATTCTGTCTGCTCCAGTTTTGATAAATTCCCCCGTAGTGATCACATAATAATAAGTGACCAGTGTAACCAACCCTGGTAGAGTGATTGGTTTGTCCCATGTATAGTATAGAATAGTAGCATGTATAATATATGTGGAGTAATATATACTGAAGGCCTGCTGTATAATATGTATTACAGAATATAAATCACGCATGTACTAATATGTTAGAGAATAATATTTCTGGTCCTTTAATTCTTATACAGAACGCTTGGTGTGTCGTGCGTTACATCTCCGTCTCCGACCCGGAGGCCATTTTGGTGGTGCCAGCCCTCTAGCCTTGCTGGGGTCGGGCGTCTAGAAAATGGCCGTCGTATGCCGATTAAGCGGACTTCTTTCGCCGGCAATATTTTAGTTTTCAGTCTCAGCACCGGGCACTGGTTGGCAGTGACATGTTGCTTGTCTGCTCCTGACTTCCTCCACATGGTGAGCAGAGCTTGGGACAGCCGGAGACACTCGGGTAAAGCCGGTATGGGGGAGGATGTGTGGTGCTGTATGATGTGTATGAAGAGAAGGATATGATTGTTTCTCGGGGGGATTTCTTGCACTGTTATTGCAGAAGCTGCTGGAAGTAAATAGAGCTTACTGGCTGCTTCTTGTCATGTTGTCGCACTTTGGATGCTCGGTGTGTGCTGCTTGTCAGTGACAATCTGACCGGTTCATTTCTTGTAGGTTTGTAGTGTGCATGTGTGGAAGGGAGAGCAAGCAACATAAAACTTCAACAATTCCGAGATATAATATCTGGGTAGTCATCCTTCTGTCTTGTTTTCCCATTATCCTGCCATCTGTGGAGTCTGATCTGCTAAAGGAGTTGTGATAGTTCACACAAATTCCTGTTGACTTGTTTTATCTGCATATGATTGTGTGATCAAAGTGAGTATTCATATCATTAATTCTGAGAACATCCTCACATCCTTTAGCACCCATTCAGGCCTTGGTGTCCTGGTGTATTGCCTTGCCTATTAAAATAAATGGGCTCACAACGCATCATAACGCCCCAAAAACCGGACATGTGCCATTTTTGACAATGCAGCGCACCACAGATGCTTTGGAGCTGCGTTTCCTCAGTGTCTTGCGGTGTCATTCAGAATAAATGGACTTACCCACCCCGTCTCTAGGGGTTAATGACTTCTAAAGGGATTTATTTATGTATTATGGGTATTTATATAGCGCCGACAATGGACGCAGCGCTTTGCAGAATAAAGGTGGCCACACACCTTACAACCATTGTACAACTTTTTTTGTCCTAACATCGCACCCTCGCTGAATTTTCGTTCAAATAGCTTGTCATGCACAGACCATTGTAGTTTGCGATTATCGTTCGTCAACACCACTAACTGGGCAAATTCCATCGATCGTCAGAAGAGATTTTCATTTGCGCATGTGCAGTTTTCATTGTGCGATTTTTGTCGTACGAAAATGCCACTAATCCATTGATTTTCGTCCAACTCGATGAAAGTTTTCCAGCCTGATTGAAAGATGAAATTCGGCCAGTTGTACAGTAATTGCGGTTGTGTATTTCCCATCAACTGTCCGATTATCGGACGAAAACAGCGATTTGCGGATGAAAATCGGATGATAATTGTAAGGTGTATGGGCACCTTAAGCCCTCGTTCACACCTGAACGTTTTGTAGCGCGTTCTACGCTCGACGAACGCTCTACAAAACGCTTAAACATCTAAATCCCATTGTATTCAATGGGTCTAGTTCACACCTTGGCGTATTTCAGCCCGTGCCTAACGCGCTACAAAACGGCCCACGCCTGAAAAGGTACATGTACTACTTTGGGCCGTTTTTTGTTGCACGTTTCCATTGGGATACAGCCAAGTAGCCCTCGGAAACGCGCGTTTGTCGCACAATTTTTTTACCGCGCATATGCAATACACCTAGGTGTGAACCAGGGCTTAGATGTAAATGGGATGCCAACACTCCAGCTTTCCTCATTACAGCACAGAAAGTCCACCAGCTGATTATTATGAACCCACTTGGAAAGCACATTCTGAACAAACTTCTCTTTCTTTGCTACAGAAGCATGTAGGAATCTGCAACAATGTTTGTTAAATCCTTACAATGTACATTGAGGATTGATTTTTTTTTTAATTTTATTTTTCTCAACAAAAGTGTATCCTGTGGGGGAGGAAAGAAAACTGCATTTACCGGAACCCATGTCAGTCTGCGGGGAATCGCATGTAAAGGACATATGTCAGTTTACATCAGATTACCCCCGATCCAGCATGATCCGGCGACACAGAATATTGTTCCGTCTGCCTGGAGGCGGGGGTAACCTGGTGCAAACGGGCGCTTGTCAGATTACACACAGCTGCCCATAGACTTACATTGCCATCCGATTAGGTCCGCCTGAAAAACTGACAGGTGGAGCTGATCGGAGCAGCCATGTGAAAGGGGCCTCAGCCCTCTACTGCAATTGGTACTCGGTTTTGACATAGGGGCTGTAGAATGGAACCACAGCTTGCAGTTGGACACACAGGGATGCAGTCATTGCTCTGTGGGATCCTGCTTTAAGCATCACTTGCAGGACTATAGAAACAGCCACCTGAACATTGTTTGTTATTCTATAATGGTAGATACTGAACTTGAAAATGGTCTTAAAGAAGAAAAAAGAGATCAAAGTTGACGTCCTGACACTTGATGGAGCCAGCCTTGAGAATCTTAAAAGTAAGTTCATTCTCCTATTTTGTAGGAATCAATGATTGTCGGAGGGTTAGTGAGTCCAGAAATGAGAGTCCAGCTGTGTGATAACCTTGGCGTGCTGAATCGTGTTTGGACTTTTGAGGATTTCTATCATCTCCAAGTCTAACCTTAAAAGAGAACTGTGGGGTAAGTGTTTTTCCCCATAGTTCTCTTTAGGGTCACGGGAGACATACTAACTTCCTCCCGTGGTCCAAAGCCCGCAATATACTGAGAGCGCCGCAGCCGGGACGGATCCCGACAATACTGTCTGGATCCACCCAGCTGTGTGAGTGACAGCTGGCTCTGCCTGCAAATTAACAGAAATCACCAGCACCGACGTTTTGGGGGCCACACAGGAACCCTTCACCAGGGCAACAATGTAACGTTACATTGTTGCCCTGATGAACGGTCCCTGTGTGGCCCCCGAAACGTCGGTAATGGTTATTGCGACATGTATGACGACTTGTCCGATTGATGGACTTTTATCTTTCGAACATTTTCCACTGAGTGCTGGTGATTTCTGTTCATTTGCTGTTGGATGTGCACAGCGCCATCCGTGAGTATCACTGCAAGCACCATCATTGTGATTTTGGCCGCAGATGCTGTAAGGAGTGCAGGGGGACATACTGTTCTTCAAGCTAGCTCTGCCTATCTAGAGGCAGAGCCATCTGCGGCCGCACCCTCCCTCGTCTGTTCCTCCACTCAGCGCTGAAGGATCGGAGAGGGGAGGGGGGGAATCCCTGTGGGGAGTCGTGACTGACGGTCACCACTACCTGCAGGAAAACGATCTGGAAGTGAGTGGATCGGCTGCATGGTTCTGCTCACTTGCCAATCGATAGAGCCGACCTGTACAGAAACTTCCATGTTTTTAATTCAGTTATTATCAATTATATTTATTTTTAACCCTGATGAAGATGCAGATTCTCCGGACCTCTAATAAACATTGCAACTATATAAAAAGTTCCTTGGCCTCCTGATGGAGTGCAGCGCTCGCATTCCTTTTGTTTCACCTATTTCCATGTTTCTTGGATATTAAATGTATAAATGTTGTCACTTGTTGGCTGGCATTGCTCTTTCATCACCAGGGTAGAGAAGTAAATCATTGTCCTGTACAGACTATACATAAAGTTTTAAATGGGATGGTTGTGTACTATAAACAACAAATAACAATACATGACATGTTTATATAGATTTTACAGATGGCGAGGCAGAAGGTTTGCCTTCTCTTCTTCTTCAGTGTTTACAGTTACAGGATGGAGTTCAGCAAATCCACTGCATCAAAAAGGTAACAACTGGAAAATGAGTCCATTCATTTTACAACTAATAGACAATGAGGGGAATTTTTCAAACCTGGAGCAGCTGTGCATGCCAACCAATCAGCTTCTCTCTTTAGTTTGTTCAGTTAAGCTTTCAAAATGAAAGGTGGATGCTGATTGGTTGCCACGCACAGCTGCTCCAGATTTTGTCAGCTCTAGTTTTGATAAAATCTCCTAATAATCTTTCCCTGACTCCAGAAAATGAGACCACCCCAAGTCCCTTGTTCTTCAAGAATTCTTATTCTTTCAATCTCAGAACTCTAACTGTGGGGAAACTCTAAAACTAGTCATGCCTCTTCTTCTGTGAGTCATGACTGTGGCTGTCAGAGTCTTGCAATGCCTCATGGGACTTGTAGTGACAGCTAGAGTGTCAAGGCTGCCTACCAATGTTCTGCACCATAGAGTTGGAAATACAACAGCATACTGATTGTGATGCTGACTGTAACTATGTCTTTTGAGCACTAGAGGGCGCTGCAGTGCAATTTCAGTCTCTATGCTTACGCATGTTTGTCTATGATCTTTATGTTCCCTGTAATCCTGTATACATGTATGCAACGTTCTTCTAAGCAAGTCAAACTTCAGTCAGCATTCCTCCAGATCTAAACGCATAACCAACAAGAGTCTCTGTGTCAGTGTTCCAGTTGTATTTTCTGGGATGTTTGCTAAATAAATACTGGGAGCTGGGACCCCAATCTGTGTGCGGTGAGAAATGCTAATAGGTGGTATGGGCAGTGTACTTCGTCTAGTTGATGTTATGTAGGGTAATCATTAAAGAAATACAGAAGACAGAATTAGGAAATATCATGAGCCCTAGTGGGCTTGGGAGAGTAAGAAGGATAAGAGAATAGGCAGATGAAGGTGTAGGAATTGGAAGGATGTATGGGGTTCAGGGTCTGTCTAGGGCAGGTTCAGTTATATCTGCAACAGTGTCTGGTTGAAGCCTCATACTGCAGTTTGGATGGCTGAATAAATGGCAGTAGAGGACGGTCTGGGAATATTTTTTGAACACTGCCATCTTTTTTTCAGGTGATGCCTCTCTTGGAAAACCTGCCTAGCAGTTCTGCCGGAACGAAGGAGCTCTGCTGCTCTATGAGTGTTCTGGCTGAAATGTACTTTGCAGTTGACAACAAGAATCCACTGAAAAAGGTCTTGGCAAGGTAAAGCAAAGTATTTGTTTTTGATAAATTTAAAGCAGGCCTCCATTTATGTTGGGCACTTTACCGGTCATATTCTGCAATTCTGCCGGCTGCCTTGGCAGCTCTGTAATCACACAGCTTGAGACCCTGGGCTCTAGTCAACGGTGGTGGCAGTAACCGATGGGAAGAGTTGAAATTGTGGACAAAAAAATGTTTACAGTCATGGAGTAGGTCATCTAGCATTGGAGACCCTGTAGCATGATAAGGCCTTATGCACACGGAAAATAAAATACATGCTTCTAGGTGCGTTTGAAGCTAATTTCTAAATGCACCTGGAAGCATGTAATGCTTTTCTATGACTTAATGCACACCTAGATGTTTAGCAGCATTTAGGTACATGCAGTCTAGCTGTGTTTACACAACCAAGAATTTTCTGGCTTTATGCGTCTAAACCTCTATACATGCACATGCGTGTTGAAGCAGCAAAATGTCTGTTAAGGTGCCTAAATGCAGCTAAACCCAGCAGCAGCTAATAGCATGTGTTCAATGCAGGAAGCATGTGTGCATGGGGCCTTAAACTTCATCTTGGCTCTTCATCATGTTAGCTGTGACATCAGGAAAGTCTGCATACAGATTATGCCAATAAGACATCAACAATATAGTTGCATTACAGGGTCAGTCCACCCAACAAAAATATATTTGTTATTCAAATATAAATCTCATCATGCCTCTTCCTCTGGGAGTCATTCCTGTGGCTGTTAAGAGTCTTGCAATGCCTAATGGGGTTTGCAGTTCTACAACAAGTGGAGTGCCAAGGGTTGCCTACCCCTCCCCAATTGTGACCATCATGAAGGAGTCTAAAGCTGGTCATATACTGCAAACTAAACAAGAGAAATCGCTTGTTTCCCCCATGCTAAATAGTGTGGATAGAGGAACTCCCTGCCAGGCTTTTGCATTGTAACAGTTGTCAGAGTACCCAACAGTGACTGCAGCTGATTGGAAGGCAATTTTTGTCCTGGCTACAAAAATAGAATTTTGTTTAATGGAATTGAGCTGGCAGTGGCACCCACAGCTAGAATTGTGGCCAAGTAAGCAGGATGCGGCTGAAATTTGAGTATATGGCCAACTTTACTCTTGCTGCTGGAGTCTTATTTACCTAAGGCCTCATTCACACACAACCCAAGCAAAATTGTAAATACGCGCGTATATACGAGCGTGTATGTGTGCACTATATGCAATCCCAGAATGCATCACTCGTAATGGAATTTTTAATGTACTGTACGCACGTAAATACGCAGAAATACGCTGCCCGGACGCATCTCTGTTCCATCCTGTTTTTGTGCATATATACGCTACGCAAATATAGGGCTCTATACGCGGCTGTGTGCATGGAGCCATTTATTTGCATAGGTTGCATATGGTACAATACGCACGTACGCGCACATACATGCGGCAGTGTGAATGAGGCCTTAGAGTCCAAGTAGGAGGAGAGGGTTTAATCCCCCTTGCTTAGCTTTATCAGGGCGATGAAGGGAGTGAAGCTGATAGCTCTGCTAGAATCCCTGGAGATGCCAGAAGCCTGTAGATTCATCTCTACCAACAATTAGAAATTCTACGCGGAAAGTTAACCTGAAATTTTTCTTGTGATTTTCAGTGCATTAAACAGCATTCCTGATGCATGTAAGAGCGATGTGATCTGTGCTTTCACCAGCTGCCTAAAGAAGGATATTGCAGTTGAAGATACAAAAGGCTTTAGGAAAGTGGTGGACAATATGGCATCATGTATGGAGAACAGCATTGGTAATGAGCATTTTATAGTTTGGTATTAAACATATACAAATCCTCCTCCTCTTCCCCAATATTGGGCAGTGAGGTTGCCCTTCATAGTAATGGACCAATAGTGAAGCTTTGGAGGTGGAATTGCCAGACACTCAACCCATCTGACCCAGGAATTACTTAAATATCAGTGCCCACTGCCATTCTGAACCCCAAAAGTACCTACATTGAAAAAGGCCTTGATGTGCAGAGGTCCATGCTATATGATGACAGTACTGGACATAGTAAGTATATCAGACTTCTGGCTTGTTTTAGGTAATCTTTCTGGACACTACAAGATCCTTTAATTTCTGGTGTGCTCCATCATGCTGATACTTACTCAGATCCTTAGCCCAAGCCTGCACCTTCCCCTTCCTACAACATGTCCCTGTGCAGAACCTTGCATTGTAAGCCTAGGCTGTACATAGGTATTTGACTTGTCCCTGTCATTAGGCTCAGTGGACAGTAGAGGCTTTGGTATTTGACAGTTGAATGATATAAGTTGGGGCTTAGCACCAGAAGGGGCAGCACTTAATTTCGACTTGGAGAGATATCAAGGCTCTTTGTACAGGCTTGCATGGGCCTCCAAAAAAGATTTGATTTGAGCTAGGATAGCTAGGATTTGAGCTAGGATAGAATAATTTTTACAGGGCACGTGATGGTAGTGGTGAATTAACAGCAAATAATGAAAAACTTTCTCTGTTTTCTTACAGGTAGCAGCTGTGTCATAAGCCTTTTGCCAGAAGGTAATTGTAACACATCTTTACACCTATAGAACTTTATACATAACAATTTGTGTCCTTCAGTTCTGACAGCCTAGCAGATTTCAGTTTAGTTATTTTCTCTGTGGTCAGGTATAGATAGTAAAATAAGAGATAAGCAGCCTGGACATCATCATTGGGGAAGTTTGTCCTCTCATGATATATGATCCATAAGTAAAGACATGTATGAGCTTAGCAGGCGGTAATTTTTGTGTCCAGGTCTCTCTGCTTGGGTTCTGAATGCTGTTAAAAAAACACTCTTTTACAGATAGTCTTTCCAGTTATACCTTGTAGAGATGTAAAAAGCTGGCACTTGTCGCCATCCAACCCAATCTGCAGTAACTGCTATGGACCGACTTGGCTTTGGAAATATATACACAGTATGTGATTATTTGTTATCTACCTCATATGGTTTTCAACAAACCATATGAGGTAGATAACACCGCTCCAAGCTCACTCCTGGCATGGAGTACAATCTCATGATTATACTAATTTTTGTATTGCGATTGTAGTCCATCACAGGAGTGAGCTTGGAACGGTGACTACTTTACGACACACACAGGGACCATGGGGAACAAAAGTAGCCACCCTCCAGAAGGAAGGACAGTGTCAGCACCAATTCACAAATTAGCGAGCGACCTACTTATGTAAATCTGTTCAAAGGTGGCTGCATGTTTTTTTGGGATGGATGGTTGCATCATTTTCAGGAGCCGACAAAAGGCCAGTCTTAATCTAAGTTGACTGGATATGCACAGAATGAGTGTTGTTTTTGCTACTTTCCACCTGAGCTGAGGGTGGTTTATGAGTATTGTATAGTAGGTGCTGCACAGTGCTCATGAGTACACAACATAATGTCTGCACCATGGATTAGTTTGTATGCGACAGGATTCAACTCCGTCTTGTATGACAACACATAGAAGTGATTTGTGTATGTGCAAATTTGTTGCAATGTCTTATTCTTACTGATGGTGTGCCACCTTGTGGTCGTTTTAGTAACTTCAGGAATACAGTGATTTAGCTAGCTTGCCCTGGAAGCAAGTCCGTGCTCTTTTAGCTCTGGGTTGAAGGCCATGAATGTTTTTCTTGTTTATTTTTCACAGCCCTTCAGTTCCTGTTTAAAGTTTTACATTCATTTCAAAGTCAAAACAAGTGAGTACATAAGATATGTTATTTACTAATAAATACCGGGCATTATCAAGATCCATACAAAATCAAATTGTAACCATCTGTTTTTGCTGCATCTGGGGAAACATTATTAAACGTTAAGTGTGTGTTTTTCAACACACTGATCTACTGGTGTGATTTTTGCAAATGTTTTCTAAGAAGTATTCTATTCAAAACTTGGACCTTTTTAATAATATAGGTCACAAAATAGTGCAGTGTTATAAACCATATCAACCAATCATAAAATATAAAAGGCTGTCATAAAAAGTACAAAAATATCTAAAGCAGGCATCTGAAACATCAGTCATTTGATTTTGTTGTCATCTTCATCATGCATGGAACATGCATGAGGTTGATGCAACTGACAGTTCATGCTTGCATTCTCTGCTGATGTGCAAATATAAATCGTAAATATGCTAAAACATGGAAATAGCTGAGACGTATGTGACGCAGATAGTGGTCCTGCTTGGTGACGCATGTGACTTTGAGGCTAAACACACAATTCAGATATTAAAATAGTAGAGAGCTAGGATGTTTGAAAACATGTTTCACAGATCAGAGCATGCTCCTGTTTCTGAGAATTTGCCTGTAGTGGGTTGAGAAATCTTAGCATATAGTGATGATTCCTTATGAATTCCCACTAGCCACATGCTGATTAGTACTCTGGCAATGGCATGTTATGCACAGGGGAAGAGAAGGATTTATAACTGCCATTTCTGTAAATTAATGTTGTGTCAGTAACAATATATGTAGCATTCTATTGTTTTTTTCAGCTGTCAAATAATTACACCCAAAAAATATGTAATTATTTAAACTTACTAGGCATGTTGTTTCTTATTGAATTTGCTGCAATATCAAATATCATCTCTCACCTCTGTCTCTTCTCAGGAAGGTCCTGGGCGATGGGCTTGCTCAGACGCAGCTCATGCATGATCTGTTGACATCAGTCAAATTGGCTATGGTTCTACTCCAGAAGTCCCCTGAGGCTGTTCAGGAGCTTCACGGATCGGACGCTCAGTCTCTGTTATGGAAAGAAATGTGTGACCTGCTCTGCTGCTTCACTAACATATTGCTGGATGGTAAGTGTGTATTGCATTGACAGAGACTTTCTACTTGGCCTGTCTATGTTGACCTGTCTAATTGTTTCCTTCCCAGTCTGACTGTCCCTGGCACACCCCTTCCATTGAGTGGATTTCAGTTCTTTCAATCATGGAAGCTTAGCATCACTTGTGGGCAAATGCAGCCTGCCATCAAGGCATTTTTGATATTTCCATAACTCCCTTCCAAGAGCCTGTTCACTTCTTGTGTCAGGGCTGACGGCTCTTGAAAGGCATACTGAAGTAGGGTGCTGTGATGTTTTCTGGAAGCTGCTGTATGTACAGTAGAAAATGGAAAGGTTTTTTTTTTTTTTTTTTAATTATTTTAGCAACGTCATACAATATTGTGTGCATAAATAAAGTCACTGTATACAAAGCCTTCTCTATTTCAGATGACCTTTTACAAAATGTTCACAGCACTTCGGGGATGGCTGTCATCCTTTACCTAAAGACCATGGTTCGGAACAGTGAAAAACTTAGCAAACTTGTAAGTATCAGCATTACAGGACAACTTCACCTTAATGTAGCTGTCCTTTACAGCTCCCTCTCTGTGTAACCCACAGAACATAACACCTGCCTTTAGCCCCACTCAGAAGATCTTCATTGTGTGGCCGTACCTAGTAGTGCACAGCCTTTGCTTTTAAAGTCCTATCAGGGCCCTTTGCCTACTGACCATGTTCACTGCTTTCTTTAGTGATTCTTATGGCTGGGTCCCTACTCATGAAGTACAAAGCCATATAGAGGAGTACTAACCCAGCCACAGGCATGAATGAGGTCACTGTGCACATGGCTGTTTGGCTATATTTATGTTTTATAATAAACCTGTCAAACATCCAGAAATATACATCAACAGTTCCTGTAAAAGTCTAGCTTGACCTCACCTCTCAAGCCTCCATATAGTACCCATCATGTTTAAAGACTAATATGGAGGCCCAGAAGGTATGATGGGGTGGGGACAAGCTGCAATGATTTGTGAATTGCCCAAGTTTGTTACAGGCATTGCATTCTATAGATACAGCTGTCTCATTAAGGTTCCGCCTGGAATCAAACAAATCTTTCACATTTTCATTGGGCATAATAAACAATATAGGCATAATGGAACACAATATGCTGAACATGCTGTTTAAAAAAGTTTAGCATTTCAGATAATGATAGTTTCCTACCATTATCTTTACTCCTTATTTTATTATTGTATATACACCTGAAGTGAACAGGTGTTTGCCAGTTAGGGGCCAATAACTCAAGGAAATGTGCCACTGACTTCTCTGATTTTGTTTCCGTTATAGGCACCCTTTTTGTTTCCTGTAATAAGCCTGTTGATGGTAGTTTGACATGAGGCTCTTTTTTAGGTGAATGACTTGATCCTCCTGTCTGTGGATTCCTCTGATGCTCCGAATTGGTTTATCTACTGCTGTGGTGCGCTGTGTAAGGACCCTCCAGACACCGTGCTGCTCTTCCTGTGTCAGGGGGCCCTGGCTATGCTGGAGTGGAGAGATGATCTAGGCCCGGGAGGGGAGATGCTACTTCTAAACCTGCTTAGAGTTCTGTTGTCTCTAAGTTCACGGTATGTATTTGTTTTTCAATCAATTATTTATTATCATGTATTCTTTTATTTTTTTTTTAAATGGGATCAGTTAAGCACTTACAAACGATGCGAGATCATTCTATACTGGTTAATACTATTAGTATTTCATTGATGTTTATTTTTTTCTATAAAGCAAGCTGTTAACATTTCACCAAAACATTTTTACCCATATTAAGTGTAGCCATGCAGGGTTAGATCATCCTCTAACTTGCTTTGCCAAAGGAACAAAACACAAATGAGGTAATAGCTTGTCTTTTGGCAGAAAATGTAAACTCACCACCCATGCCTACGGTCGTCATGTGTGGTTTAATTCCCTTTACTGCCTGTCAAGTTCATGTCAGGGATCTACCAGCCCACGCTTATCATGGCCTAGTTACTGCTGTCAATGGCCTGAGATAGTTCTCATCATATGGCAAATCCTCTAGTGTGCACCAGACACAAACATTTTGTATCATGCGCTCTTTAAGGTCTTCTTTGTATAATTGTACAGAGAGCTTACCAGTGACTCTGACTTGTATGGAAATCAGTGCTTGACCATGGCTAAGGAGAAGGTAGATCATCTCACTGGAGTCCCCAACAAGAGTGAAGAACATGTTGTGAAATATTTTTTTCAGACATACTTAGAATCGTATAAAAGGCCCATAATTTACAACACAGCAGGGTGACAAACTCTGTCCTTCATGACCATGGAGACACGTAAGTAAATGTTACCTGAACATCCACTGTAGCTTCTCATCATCTCCAATATCCTCCAGCAGAGTTCTTCTTAAAGGGGAGTTCTGATTTATCCAAATTCCTTTTTGAACTTCTTCCTAGATAAAGGTTGTATTTCCTGAAGGATTTGATTTTTTTATATCATTCACCCTTCTTTTTGCTTCTTGCCAGTGGTAGCTTGAGGCTTGGATGAAATGTTTTTATGGCTTTTCAGAGAATTACAGAGAATTGTCCGAAATTCTCCTAAATTGCAAATAACCATACTAAAGGATTTCTGGTGTATAATTTATCCTATTTTTTCTTGAAATTATGTTGGTACTTACACTTTAGCCAATGCAAGCAGCTTTTTACATCAGCTGTATTTATTTTCAGTTCTTCTCTTTCTAGTAGCATCACACACTCTGTCTTTGTCTATTCTTATGTGTCATGTTTATATTTTAGCCTGCGGGAGTCCAGCACGGCCTTGTATCTGTCCCGAATCTTAGCCCTGTGGACAACCTCAGCCCTGGGCTCTTTCCACTCCTGTTCTAAGGACCTACAAGACTGTTTCAATGGCAGCTCAAGTACCATGTGCAGCCTTCTAGAATATGTGTACATAAATTGGGAACATCCCTTGGATGCTGTGAGACATCAAACCAAGCAGATCTTCAGGAACATCCTCCAAATCCACCACACAGCTATGATGGTGATACCCAGCAGAGAAGTAGACCCGTTTCTTTGTCAGCTTACTCATAAATTACTGAGTCTGGAGTGGCACTCAAAAGGGAAGTACGCCTCGTTGGCCTGTCTTGTGGAATGTGTTGGGACCGAGCAGATCTTGTCTGTAGATCATATGATCCCAGAACAGATCCTGGATGTCATGTGGGACCAATCTTTTGCTCCGTATGCCGCTAACCTCTTGGAAGCCATGTTTGTCAACCACAAAAAGCAACTTCTGGCCTCTAAACAAAGTTGTTGGATCGAGCGCTGGCACAGTGTCTGGGTCTCCCCTCTTCTTAGACGCCTCTGTGAGGAAGATGTTACTCGGACTACATACATCATTGATTATTATTTGCCTAAGTTGCTCAAATGTAACCCTGAGAGTTTAACCTTCATGATAGTCCATCTGCAGTCCTCTGCAGCCATCAGTGTTGGTAAGTTGTATTCTGTATGTCCTATATCCTTGTTGAAAAGCAAAGTATCAAGCCATCTTAAAGTCCAATGCCTGACGGGAGTGGACCTGTCAGGACAGAAATATGGAGCTGCCATTGCTGGGAAACAGGTTTACTTTTAATGCAGACTCGTATACTTTCCTTAAAGTGACATTAAACCCTCAGATTTTTTAACATAAAACAATACTGTAATGTGCGCCTTACTGTAATCCATGGTAGTTTCCCTTCTCTTTGCTGCTCTTCCTTTTAAAACCTCATGTCTTCTCATGCTTGGGGAGAACTTCCCTTTTCAGCTCAGGGCCTCTTCCTGTAGTGCTGGCTCAGGTTACAAGCCTATAGAAACGTATACACAGACACCGTGTATCCATTCCTGAGACAAGGCAGTCTGCTGCAAAACAGAAGTACTGCAGAGCATGAGAACAGATTTAAAAGGAAGAGCAGCAAAGAGAAGGGAAACTACCATGCATTACAGTAAGGCACACATTACACTATTGTTTTATGTTAAAAAAATCTGAGGGTTTAATGTCACTTTAACTTCCCTTTACATTCTATTCAGTCACCGGAAATGAAAAGGAAGCATGGACTAATCTGAGTTTCTGGAGTTGTTGTTTTCTTAGGGACGACCCTGTTACAATGCCGATAGAATTAGCCCTGTCACATGGACTGTCACTTCACCAGAAACTAAATGGAGTAAAGGAAAGGTAAGTATGTGCTGCTGGGGAATGGGGAAAGTATTAAAACCATTCACCTTTTAAGAAAACCTCACCAATGGGGCCTCCCATATTTCTGTTCTCACTGGTTCTCTTCAAGGGCTCTCTCAAACCAGGTGAACACCATGCTCTAACAGCGTGCCTTTGACATGCATTGTGAAGGCTCCCATTCAGTTACATTGACTAAGGAAAATGATGGTTAATAAAAATGCAGTGCAAACATTTATTTATTTTTTTCAAACTAACTTAAAGTAAAGTGTGGATGTTAAAAGGCCTGCACTGGAAAAAATCTAGCAAATGCAGAAAAATGTATGGTACGTTCTGTTCTCTGTATTTCAATGTTACGTCTTGCTTATTGGCATGTGCGGACACACTTGCATTGCAGTACAACTACTGTGACCCCTGGGATAGCAGAAAATATTTCCAATTAAACAAATTAACTGTTATCTTTATGGTGTAATCTTACAATCATATTGGATGTGTGTCTCATTCTTAAATACAGGCAGTCCCCAGGTTACGAACAATATAGGGACTGTAGGTTTGTTCTTAAGTTGAATTTGTATGTAAGTTGGAACAGGTACATTTTTTTTTTAGTGTAACTCCAGCCAAAATTTTAGTTTTAGTTTTGGATAGCATAGGGAAGGGTTTACCTCCTGTAAAGTTTGTTTTGCTGTGCGTACCCCTGTTCAGAAGATTTCATCTCACTTTCTGTCCCTGTGACGATTGGATTTTGAAAATTTTGGGTTGTCGTGGAAACAAGGATTGGTGATAAAGCTTCCGTGGAGACACCTTTTCGCCATGATCACTCTTACAGGAATGAATTTCCCTTCCTAGGGGTAGATTTGCTTTCACTTCCTATTGTCTCAAGGACAGGAAGTGAGATTAAATCTTTCTAATGAGGATGCAGACAGCACTAAAAACCTCAGTGACCCGGAAGAAGAGGCGAGCACCCCTCGTCTGCATGTCTAACAAGAGCCAACTTCCTGTAATGTACGTACAGTACTACAAACCAGACCCAAAAAGGCGGGCACTCCTCGTTGGCACGAGTGCGGTAGCATCACAATTACCCCTGGTGTACAGTATTAGCCTCCGTTTGTAAGTAGAAGACCTATGTAAGTCGGATGTATGTAACTCGGGGACTGCCTGTATAGTGATTAATGAAAGGTTATTTACACTTGTTGTAAACCCGTAGGATCTGGCAGTAATCGAGGGGCTCTGGGAGCTCTTATGGCATGTCTGAGGACAGCCCGGGCACATGGACACCTTAGATTTACAGAAAATTATGCCTGGAATGGTCGGGTCTCTACTGGTTTGATAAAACAAGGCCTTGTCCATAGGCATGATCAGGTGAGGAACCCTAAATAATTACTTTGGTATTACTTGATATAAATGGAAATCATTTTCTGTAATTTTTATCAAACTTCCAGCGTGCCTATAAAATTGGATTACATTTTAGGTGCTAATGTTCAAGTATTGCAAATCGGCAGATAATTAAATTCTACAATTCTGTACATTCATCTAAAGTTAAACAAAAAGACTAGGAATAATAATGAGGCAGGCATTTCCCACACGTCTATCCATATAGGGCAAGGAAGAGAGAGAAGTTCATGGTCAACTTCTGATAATGCCTATAAGGTTGTGTGACATGTGTGGTCACATTTTCATTTCAGCGGTGCAATGAAGGGTGTCATAACTGTATAATGTCCATTCAACAAGGCCATGTATTGCACAATTTTCGGGCCTTTTGAAAGGCCAGGTTTCCTTGCTTGATAAAACTTTCTAGTTGCTTATGTATTACAGTAATCACAGTCCCGAAGTGCCTCACTGGAAATCGTTAGCTTTGGTCTCTGTTCTGTTGGAGACACGGGGCTTTTTAATAATTTGGATCTACTATGGACCCATAATATGGTTTTACGTCTGTGTTGCCATCAGAATTGTAGCTTGTTCTTTAAAACCTGAACTCTGGTCAAATGGTAATGGCCTTCCCTTTAGTCTTGCACATTTTAACAGGTTCCTCTCCTGAACTTAAACTGCTTACTCTGATTTCTCTGTACACTGCGAGCTTTTCGCAGTGTGACTTATAAGCTGCAGGGAGACAGATAAAGCCTGCATCATTTCTAGTTTGGAAGATGTCAAGGGTCATCTATCCCTTTCCTCCCCAGCCTTTGTCCCCAGTCCGTCCCTTTCATTCATTGGATTTAATCCATTTAGTCATGGAGACGTGCATGAGTTGTCAGCTAGGGTGATTTATGTATCATGCGCTCTTCGTAGAAATTCACGATCTCCCAGATTGATATCCATCCATGAAGGCATTTTGATATTTTCACCCCTCTCAGGAACCAACCCACTGCTTTTTTCATCAGGCCCAAGAACTGTCCCCCCGTCCCCAACTGATCTGCCTGCATTGGCATCACTAGGGGAATGCGGGGGGTGCGGCCCGCAGGGGGTGCGGCCTGCACCCGGGTGACAGCATTCGAGGGGTGACACCAAAATTACTGACAGTCATTTTGGTATCACCCCCTCTGAAAAGTCGGGCACTCGGTCATGAACTGAGAGCCTGACAGTTGCAGGAGAGAGGGGGGGACTCGGCAGCATACCTCATCCCGCCAAGTTAATGTCCCCTCCTCTCTCGCCTTGTGTCCATCACCAAGATGACCACCGGCAGGTATCACCAAAATGGCCGTCATTACGCATGCACGATGACGTCATTACGCACGAGTGCGGTGACATCACGTGCATGCGCGATGATGTTATGGCAGGGTGTCACCCGACCTCTGGACGCCCCTGTCTGCCTGCATTGCATAGAGAAGCATAGAGAGATTTATTAAAAAATTCACTAGCATGTTGATGAGAGGGGAAAGAAGAAACCAGGGACGGCAAAAGCTTTACAGGAGGGAGCACTTGCATTGTCCAGGCAGCAGGTTGGGAGGAATGATGACCAAACCACGTATGGCTTAACACTAAACAGAGAAAAACGAGGTCACTCACCCCACTCACTGTTTTTCTGGAGTTCCTATATTATTTTTTGAACACATCTTTGTGTAACAGAAAATGCCCCAACTTTGGCAGTTGTAGCCAAGGAATGGTATTTGTTGAAGAGAGAGATTATTTGCACAGAAAGCTGCAGTGCAATATTGTCCAGATGACACATGATCTGTCCAAGCAGTAGACCCCGGCTTGTAGTTTTAGCATGGAATGGAACCAGCTGGATCTAAATTCAAAGTGTTCAAAGTTGCAGAACTAAGATCAAATGTGGGCGAAGTAAAAACACTGAGTGGGCAGTTTGCTTCCGTAACCTTTTTGCTCTGAATGTTTCCATACAAGTTGTGTTTGGCCAGGATTAGCTCTGTGATTCACGGCCTGCTTCCAAAGTAGGCTCTTCTACCAGCAAAGACTAAAGTGCACCTGTCACCAATATATAGTAAAGCATAGCACAGGCAACCATTTTGTTAACAGAACCAGCACTTTGCTTATTGATTCACTACGAATTAGTAACACACTGACATTGAAGCTGAACTCCAGCCATACAGCTAAATGCACCAATAAAATACATATAAGGGGGCTGTTTTACCTGCCAAAGGATGGCCATCTGACCATCCAGTGCTGAGATGTTCACCTCCCTGCCACACAGCATAGCCGTGTCTGGCAGGACTGGAGACCTAATTTTTCTCTGCTTAAGCAACACTTAGGCCCCCTGCACACTGGCTCCTGCATTAAACACAGGGTAAGTTATCTGGGAAGAATAAAAAAAACTTTTATTCTTCCCAGATTACTTTTTTCTTGTTCAGATGTTTATGGAGTTAGCAGTGTTTCCATACATAAAACCAGGCTAAACTGTTCCAGGACCCAGAATATTATTGTTTGTGTAAATGCAGCGAGACTAAATGCATGTAGATGCCGCTGAACGTTCAGGTGTGCATTCAGCCGTAGCAAAGCATTACATGTTTTCAGGTGTGTTTTAGAAATGAGTTCCAAGTGACAACAAATGGCAAACACACTCATCAATTTATAATTGGCTTTAATGTAAGGTGCGCATGGAAGGGATTTACACTGTACAAAAGCATGTATTTTGCAAAAGTTGTGCAACTAAAACCTCGGTTTTTAACCCTAGTAGTTAGTGTACTTTTTTTGGAGGCTGGCTGGTGAAAGTTATAGAACAGATGACACTGAGCTAAGAGTTAATTGTGCAGTCGGTCTCTATTGATCCGTCAAATATAAACACGTGAGTGCAATCCCTCGCTTACGTACTGTGGCTGGTGAGTGTGCTGGTAATTTTTTACTGTCGTACTGTATAAACCCCCTACATGTGCACCTTGCTTTAAAGCTGGTTATGAATTGATGAGTGCGTTTGCTATTTGCTGGATTTGGAGTAAGGACACAATGGGGTGAGGCCATTGCCATTGGGATGTGATGAGCTTCTGGTGTGTTCCTGTGCCTTTAAGGAGGAATGGGCTGCCTCCCATGTGAACCTGCACCCAATTCATCTTTTGCTCTTAGATGGAGGCTCTCGTAGATTAGAGTTAGGACCACATTACACAGAGGGGCCTTGACGAAGCAGTGCGGATTTCAAATATTTTGCAAAAGTTGTGCAACTAAAACCTCTGTATTTAACCTTAATAGCTAGACAGTATAATTAGTTCTTTTTTTGCAGGCTGGCTGGTAAGTGCTAGACATGAGCTCCACATCCACCTAGGACCATGTATGTTAATTCCTATGTGCATGGGACATTACAGGTCTTGTCCCTTCCTCAGCTTGTGACTCAACAGTGAAAGGAGAAGCAGTAGACTAATGAATGCATCTGTCTGTCACTCTTCTCTCTTCTCCTTTCAGTATGATAACTGGTGCTAGCTCTCTGCTGCTCTGATCCCGAGTGGTGGTAGACTTTAATAATATAAAGTGATGAAAATGATGCAATGCTGTGAACTGTAAATTGGGTTCGTAATTTAATGGTTAAACCTCCTGTACAGTTAATGACGTGTCATTCTTCTGCAGATCCGTATGGACGCCCTAGGCCTCCTCTGCGAGAGTCACTGGAGCACCGAAGTCGTTTCTGTGGATGAAATGAACCTAGTTCGCTTCTTTCTCAAGTATAACTTGAACTGCCAGTCTCCATCCGTGAGACAGCAGATGTGTTACCTAATCAAGAAGGTAAATAGTATGTGTCTGTGAGCCTGCATTCCCTGTCATTGAGATAGGGAACACATGATGATGTCAAAGGAAGCCTGTGCTATGAAGGGATAAGGGGCCTGTCATTGTTAACATCCTTCTGAAAATGCCGGTTGTCTGCTGCTAATCCTCTAGGTTGAGGGCTGCACCACTGACCCCCCAAAAAAGCTTGAATCAAATAAGTAGTGAAGTCACTGTTCTTGTATTTGATCAGTGACTCAGTATTGAAGAGATTGGATTAGCATTGCAGCTAGGCAACCTGTATTTGTAGGAGCCTACCTTCTAGGTTTACATCTCGAAATACACCTTTTTTTTCTTCCTTTTTTTATTTTATTTAAAGTGACACTAAACTCAGAGCTATTCAGAATAGTGTGTTAAATTTTTAAATGCATTCCAGCACACTATTAACTTTATAACACACACAGGGACCATAGGGAACAAAAGTAGCCACCCTCCAGAAGAAAGGACAGTGTCAGCACCAATTTAGAGATGATTTGAGGATCTTCAGCCAAGTGTTACACAAATAAGGTCGAGTATTGTTAATAGTTAAGGTACTTGAATGCATTTTTAACATTTAACAAAGTTTAGTGTCACTTCAAGTTTATTAGATAGGCTAGAGAGTCCTAAAACCCAGTATTTTTGGAGAGCTTCCCCTCACTTCCTGTCCCAAAGACATAACAGGAAGTAAGGGGAAATCTCTTAGGGTGAGGCAGAATCACGTGCTAGATATTTGTCCTGAAATTTAGTCTCACCTCCAGTATTAATAAAATTGTTAGTTTTCCATCACTTTCTGTCCAGATGATAATGGTGATCAAGACAACTAGAGAAGTTGAATCCTACCAAAAATAAAAACCTGATGGGGGGGGGTTGGGTGGGGGGGGCTAAATCT